CCAAGTAGAAAGTTGACTAGAGCTCCGAAACAGTCTGGGCTAACCCGAAACCTGAAAATTTTTTGGACTGTATCAATTATACTTGAGGTCAAAATTATTAATTAAAAATCCTAAAAACTTGCATTTTATCAACTATCATAATTTTATACAAGATGCAATTCGTGATGCAAGTCTCAATTCATGGTGCAAACATGATTCATGACAATTTATTAGCTAACAAAACCTTTTTAGTTATGAAGCATTGATGTTACATTAAAAATTAAAAAATTAAAAAATTAAAAAGTTTTCATGCAATAAATAAAGAGTTTTATATGTGGTTAAAGTTTGAATTAATTCATACACACATCATGATTGTCTTGTGTAGTGATGGTGGCTGAAATTATTTTAGTAAGTTGAAATAGTTTACCTATAGAAATTAGGAATTTAGGCTCCTAAACTAGTGATGAAACTTAAAATCACCTAAACTAGGGCAAACTCCTGTGGTTAAATTGACCAAAGTTTATGATAAATAAAACGGATTTATCAAAGCGCCGTCCAATCGTATTCCGACATTTGATTTATATTTTTTATTAATATTAATATTTTATATTTGCATTTTTATTATTTATTTAAACATATTTATTAAAAAAGATTATCATAAAAATAATGTCATTTTTTGACCTAATCGTTTTGTAATAATAAAACAAATCAATTCCTTTTTTTTTTGTTCAATAAAACACTTTTGTGGTCGGAAAGTAAACAGTAGAGTTTAATTGACCGCTTGGTTTTCACCCGCAGTTTAGGTTTCGCCAACTTTGCCGCAAAATTAGGCCTAAACTATGATTAGTTCCGGCCATCTTGTGTCTTGAATTACGTCTTATGTCACGAATTGCCTTGAGTTATGGTTTTGCGTCATGAGTTGTGTTTTGCGTCACGCATAACACCAATTGCAGCTTTTAAACCGCTATAACTGTTTCGCCTTTTATATTTAATTAATTGTTGTTATCTAATTAATGTAAAATTACAAAATTTTCTCATTAACCTGAAATCAACCCGAACCCGACCCGTTAGGAATTTTAAATTTGACCACTAAAATTTTTCCACAACATCCTTGGATGGAACCATCATCATACATGAAAAAGAAAGATCAGATCAAAATTTCAAGGTTTATTTTCCCAACCCTGCCAATTTCTCATCTTTTACTCACCAGGACATTATGTGGCTTTTTTAAAAATCAGTTCCTTAAATTTCATTTCTGCATGGTTTTGTTATTATTATCACTTGGGCGATGCAATTTATTTATTAATCTTTTGTAAAAGGAACATATTCAAATAATAACAATAACACATAATCATCATGAATATTGTAATGAGCATGTAATTTATGGAGACAAATGCATTCACATTCAAGGAAAGGATTAAATAACAACAAAAAGGATAAGTGATGTTGATTTAACTAAGAGAAAAATACATGATAATTTTTAATTTATGTATAAATATCAAATATTAAGATAAGCCACCAGAGCAATTGCATAAGAGGAAATCATTTGAACCCAAATACATTGATTATTCTTTAGCCACTCTGATGTAAATCTATTTTATATTTTCACTATTATTAATAATACTATTGCTATTGCTAATCCTTCATCTTCTATATCATCATCTTTGTATTATTCCATTCTTTATTAATTCCTTGTAAGGTTTTTAAAGAGGATGCAATAATTCTCCATCACATAATCCACATATTTTGGTTTTCATTTCACCAAATGAAAAATTTGGATTAAACTCAGTCTTTATTAAACAATTGTTTGAAATCTTTTAAATTTCCCTTGGGTATTTTTGATCACCAGTTGGCTAGGTTTATGTCTTTTTCTAGATCAATCTTTTGGTTGATATTATAGAGCTGATTTAATAGGTTTGATAATATAATGAAAGCCAATCAATCAACAATCACAAAAAAAAACTCACTTGCATTTTTATTAAGTATTTGTGGTTTATTTTTTATATTGATAATAATTGATAAAGACTTGGTTTTTTATATATATTGATTTTGATTTTGGGTTTTGTTTTACAATTGTAAAATACTAACAAGAATTATGGCTATGATTTTTTTAATATTATTAATAAAGGAAGAATCCAAGACAAACAAGGAAGGGAACTAGGCATTCATTAACAAACATATTTAATTTTATCAAAAGTATTATTTGGTATGGTTGGTTCTGGAGATATGTTGTTTGTTAATAACCAGAGATTCTCTTTTTGCATTGATACCTTATTTTTTTTTATTGATCAATAGCCCAAATACTGCATTGAAAGTCAAAACATATAATGGAATTTGTAATGTCATCCCCTTATATGGTGATAGGTATAAATTTTTTTAAACAACTGATCACTCTTCCCTTTTTTCATTGTTGTTAGATAATTTCAGTGTTGAAAATTGTGCTACAGCTTATTGAAAAGTTAAAATCATGTATTTATAACAGACACAACCTCGCAAATATTTTAAAGAAGCATTTATCAAGATGTTGAAGAAGTAATACACAAATTGATGCTATTTTAATTCATTTAATTTTAATTAATAATTATTTTTATGGTAAATTTAATTAAAAAATTATTTACTATTTAAAAGCAATATATCCATCAGAAATAGTGAGGTTAATCCTGAGAATATTTGACAAGAAGTGGTATTTAACATCTATCTATACTCTAACCCCCTAGAATTGACCTCACTACTTCTGAAGGTCAAATGGCCATTCATTATAAATGGCATGGGTCTGTATGGATGCTAGAGTTTATTAGAAATCTATCATCGTCTTCTTCATCATCATCATCATCTTCAACCTCATCATCAACATCTTCAATTTTGTTGTTATCAATAAAAGAATTTTTATCATTATTGATCAAATGAACTGCAACAACACCACCATCTTCATTAGAAGTCACAAGTTAGATCATTGTTATCATTAAAAGTGTGTGTTGAATCTTCTTCTTCTTCGTCGTTATTGATCAAAGGGACTTTAATAATATCATCTCCCACTAAGTAAATAAAAATAAAGTTTATAAATAAATATTTAAATGGTTTCTAACATCATCACAAATATTGTCTTTTAAAAAACTAGAAAATCCCTTGAAATAATTATTCTAAGCATTTTTTTCTCCTTTAATAATACTTACTAATTTTATAATCCTCCTAAAATTTGATTTCTTTTTTTTCATTTTTTATTTTTTAAAAAATTTATTTGTTGAGATGGTTACACATAAAATCAAAATATTATTTTAAGCAAGCATTGTACAGAGAAACCCACAAATTTTTTTTATTGTTAATAAACATGGAAGCATTATTTGGTATGGCTCTGAGGAAGATATGCTATTTGTTGATAGTCAATGATTTATTTTTTTTGTATTAACACCATTTTTTCTTATAAAATAGTAAAGCGAGATCAAAACATGAATGAAATCTGTTAGTTATGTCTTTTACATTATATAGCGATAGGTAATTATATAATATTCCTTATCATGATGACCATTGAAGATAAATCACATACAATATGCATGTAAAACTGCTCTTGGACTGTCTGTGAACACTAAGAAACGATTCGATATGCAACATTTTATTGCTCAAATATTTAAAACATTCTCATCTTCCATATGTTACAGTTAGGCTAATTTGACTTGGTTCCCTGATGATATATCATGAATTAAACTTCAGAGAGGGGGAGCGGGCTGGTCCTGGAGTTTATTAATTACATTGTTGTCAAGGAGAATGTTAAAGCCTCTCGCTTTTCTGAAGCCTTCCAACTTGTAATTTGCCTTAACTCATGGATGATAATTGATAAGTTAAAGCCTAAACCTGAGTCTTGTTTAACAGAATTCGAGACAGATTCATCAGATTCAGATCCCTCTGAATCAAATAACTTCAATGCTTCATCTTATTCGCCCAATCTAGCCAAGAAAGAGCCACTCCAACCAGAGAATCAATCTAAAACAGAAATATAGCATAATTTCCAAAAAATAGTAAATATACACATATTATTTATTAAATTTAAAGAAAAAAAAAGTAAATATATAAAATAAAATTAACCTTTCTACATTCATAGTTGCTGTAATCTAAGGTCCCTTCCGTGTGTGTAATCACTTAAAAATATATAAATGAAAATAAAAGTTTTTTCAACATGCTGTGATATATTTTTTAATGATAAAAAGTTAATGTACAAATAAATACCTTGTCTTAATAAACCAATTAAAACATTAGTCTGTAGTGAACGTTCATGAGATTTGTCCATTATAACAGTATTATAATGATCAAGTTCTGATGCTTTAAATGATTCACACCATCAGTTATAAGAAATTAATTTTGTCTTGTACATTTATCAGAGTACTTTCAGAAGTACAGCCTTCAAATCGAATTTCATAACCCACTGTTGTTCCAAGATTACACTAAATAAATTAAAAACTTCTTGATGGATTTATTTATCAGTTACTAATAAATATTAAAATTTTATTTGCATCCATTTCTTCACTACACGTTTAGCAACTGGCACATATCAAGGTTGTGTACACCCAATAATTCCATACTTGCTATAACCATTTCATAAAGATATTGTGTAAGATGCGTGGTTTTACCTGAATTTTGTTTCTCCAACAATAACAATAAATAGATTAATCTTAGAGATTAAGGTACGTTACTATTATTTATTTATTTATATGATTTGTCTATTTGTTTATATGTCCATCTAATAATTTTTAAAAGTTCTTCATGAGCTGCAAAAGCTGGTAAAATTCTCTATGTTTTTTGATCTTGCTTTCAAATGTGATGCAAATTGAGAATCACCCAATTTCATTATTTTGTGCTATTTAAAAATTTTTTTTTTAATATTAATATATTATCCTATATTACAAGTAATAAATGTTGCACTACGTTCAAATTAATAATAACAACAACTAAATTTTCTCCATTTTCACTCTTTTTTTTAAAATATATATATATATATATTATAAGTTTTTTTTTAATTATAAAAAGCAATGGCCTGTTGTCAAGCTTTTCAAAAGTGTGCTAGATTAGCATGTTTAAAATTAAGGCCAACATGCTCAACTTTATGTTTGCCCTCCATAACAAAACTGTTATGTTACTTTACCATTATACCCCTTATATTTTTTTTTTACTACTCAATTTTAGAAAAGTATTTTGATAAATTATCACTTACTACTGAACCTCCTTACCATCAATATACTACAGGTTTGTTATTTTTACTTGCTTTTAATCTATCTATATATATACATGCATATTTAATTTTAACTTAATGATAACTAGAACCAGATGATTTGTTTGGAGGAGTCAATCCTACTACTATGTTGAGCGAGCATACATATTCACAATTATTAGACTTAAACTCTAGATGGAAACCTAGTCTACCCTCAAATTTAACCGTAGTTTCTATAATTAAAAATAACGACAATGTTGAATTACAATTGAATTCTATATTTAGTCAAACAATTATGCCACAAGGCATGATTATAATTGCCTCTAAAAATACAGCTAAAAAAGTCAAACATGTCATTAAAGAGAATGATAAATATAGTGGCTTTGATGTATGGATACATGTTATGGAAACAAACAAATTTAGAATCATTGGTTGGTTAGAAGTTGCGCAAGCTGTAAAAACTTCACACATTCTTTTTTTGGATTCTGGAGTGGTACTGGGTAAAAAATTTATTCAAAACATGGTTCACACTGCAAATACAAAAGAGTATCACAATGCTATTTTAGGAACCACGGGTGCTTATATTGAAGTGGATGACAGATCAAATAATAAACAGTCCCTAGTATGTTTTGCTGATCATGAATCATGGCCTGATGATCTTGAATCAATCAACCTATCTCAAAAAGTTGACATGTTAACTAATATATGGCTATTCAAGAAACAATGGATTCACATATTGTTCCAGGAAAATAATATGGAATCTGTAAAAATTCCTTTTGGCTTTTTTTTTTCTTTTTCGCTCAAATATCATGCAAACATTCCTTCTTACATCCTACCAACTAACCATCATGATGAAGATTCTTGGGGTGATAGAAATTTAATACAACAAAAGAAATGCAAAGACCTTAAATCAAATTTTGATACTGATGAATCATGGAATTATTACATTGAACGTGGCTATCCTCTAGTTTTCAAGGAAAAATTGTTAATGAATTCCCAGTTGAATAAGATTCTATTCGTGGTTGATAGTTATGATCAGGGGAAAACATTTAGGCCATTATTTTGTAAATTATCCATGATTAAGGATAACTTGGTCAATGTATTATTTGCTGACTTTTCACAAGAATCCTCCGATTCAAATACGAAAGGATTCATCAAGTATTCATCAGATTGTAATGTTGAAATATATGATTTAAGCATTCAAGCAGAATTTCAAAATAGCTTTCCTACTCAAGATGAGATAAACCTAAAGAGCAGAATGCTTTATGGTGTTAATCGTATGCTACATTATTTCAAACCAGAAGTTGTAATATATCCAAAGATTGAAGATAGTGATGCAATTCATGGAATAACTATTGCTGCTGAGGGATTTAAAAATATTACTACAATACAATTACCTTTAGATGAAATAGTTCATGCTGTAGATATTATGGCTGATTTGTCCTTTGAAGCATTAAAAAGTCAGTATTCCATTATACATGATATATTAATATTATTGTTTTATTTTTATTTTTATAATAGTAATATTGATTTTTATTTTTTTATAATTATTTATGAAGGTTGGAATTTACCAAAGTTTCAATTACAAATACTTACTCAGAATCGACCTAATTCTTTTAATAGACTTTTAGAATCATTGAATTCATCTATATACTTTGGTGATGAAATTCCTTTGACAATTAATATGGATAAAGGTGCGAGTCCACATATTGTTAAACTAGCTGATAAATTTAATTGGGACCATGGTTCAAAAAACATCAGACGTAGAGTAGGTCAAGGTGGTTTGTTACCTGCTGTAGTCGAAGCATATTACCCATACAATGATCATGATTATGCAGTTTTGCTAGAGGATGATACTGAATTATCACCTTTTTATTATATCTGGTCAAAATATATTGTTTTAAAGTATAAGTATGGTCCTGATAAGATACACAGTAAAAGGATGTATGGTATCAGTTTATACAGTCCAAAACACATGGAACTTACACTCCCTGGTCGTAAAAAATTTTATCCTGAACAAGTATTCAACAACACAAAATATGATGTTCGGTTGCCTTATCTTTGTCAGGCACCTAGTGATTGGGGCGGTGTTTACTTTCCAGAGATTTGGCATGAATTTCACCATTATCTTATTGATCGCTTGGAGGATGATAATAATAATTTTAAAGTTCAACCCATTAGTATTCCTCATAGTCGTTCCAATAATTGGAAAAATTCATGGAAACAGTTTTTTATTGAACTTGTATATCTCCGAGGTTATGTAATGTTATATCCAAATTTTAGTAATTTCACCAGTTTTTCAACAAATCTTGCTGAATATGATGATACTCACATTCGTTTTAGAGAAGGTAAACATGATCCACTATCAATATTTGGTGTACCACTAATGACTGAAAATGTCATATTCAAAGAACTTCCTGGTGAGGCTTTAGCGAATTATAACGATCTGCCTGTATTGGATTTATGGGGAAATTTGACAACATTTCATAGAATAATATTGCGTGGTCATGAATTTCAAAGTAAAATTTCTGATTGCCCACCAATTGATACTCCAGATCCTGCCTATGATCCATATGATTTACTTTGTGTTGATCCAAGTGAGAAAGATATAGCTGGATCAAAATCTAGGAAGTTTCAAAGGGATATCAAAGCAATGATGAAGATGTTCGCAGAGGATAGAAATATGACCAATGCTGTAGAGATTAAAATGGGACCTAGAAAATACATAGATATATTTATGAATATAATGAATAGCACTAGAGAGGCTAGAGATCAATTACAAAAACAACTACAACTACCATTGCATCAAGAACAAGATCAAGACCAACCAATGCACCAAGATCCAAACCAAGACCAATTAATACATCAGGACCAAGAACAAGATCTACAAATACATCAAGATCAACTACGTCAGGAACAAGAACAAGATATACGGATTCATTAAGAGCACAAATACTACAAATACCCTGAAAATGCTACCATCTTTGCACCAATATAATGATAAGATTTTTTGGCACAAACACGTGCATACATACACTCCATTCTTTTTCCTTTTTTTCAAGGGGAAATATCATATAAAAGATTTGTAATACTGTATATTTTTTAAAAAATAATTATATTCTTTTTAACTTATATTATTTAATTTAATTTAATTAAAATAGATAAAAAATGTTATTCTTTTACATATATATAGAATTATCATTATTTAAATATTTAATATGATATTATTACTTAATAATTAAAATCAAACATTTAAACATTTAATCATTTTTTATTCTCCATCTAACAAAACCTAAAGAAAAAACCCCAGGCACCATTTAACCTTTCTGCTTTCCCGCATGCCTTTCAATTCTGATTATTTTTCTAAGCCACATTATACATAATATTCTTGGCCAATCAAAATAAATTTTTTTAAATAAAATGAAATGTCTAATAATTCAAATTTATTTGCAGGTTTTGATTTATCAACACAACAATTAAAATTCACAGCAATCAATGAAATCAGCAAAGTGGTATTTGAAGAATTAGTTAATTTTGATAAAGAATTACCAAGTTATGGGTTATTATCATACCATAATTATTGTATAAATTGATTAATTTTTATAAAAATAAACCATAATGATTATCGGTTATTATTAATTTTCTTTTAGAACAAAAAATGGTGTAATATCAAATGAGAATGTTGTTATTTGCCCTACATTAATGTGGGTTGAATCAATTGATTTATTGTTGAATAAACTATCTGAAAAAAAATTTCCATTTCATCAAATAAAAGCAATGTCTGGAGCTGCTCAAGTGAGTAAGATCCCTTCCTTCCCCCTCCTTTTTAATTGATCAATTGTCTATTTATTGTCATTCCTCTGACAAAAAAATATTTTATAATTAAAATTATTAGCAACATGGAAGTGTTTATTGGTCAGAAAATTCATTGGGAATTTTAGAAAATTTGAATCCAACTGAAAGTTTGGTTTCACAATTTATAAATGCCTTTTCTATACCAGATTCACCAACTTGGCAAGATTCAAGTACCACAGAACAATGTAAGAATTTAGAAAAATTAATTGGTGGTAAAGAAATTTTGGTGAATTTATCAGGATCAATAGCTTATGAAAGATTCACAGGAAATCAAATTACCAAAGTATACTAACTTTTTTTTTTTTTTAAAAAAATATAAATCAAAAAATAAAATTAACTTGTATAATAATGTAAATGTTTATTTTAGTTTAGCCAAACAAATCCTTTGGCATATTCAAAAACCAAAAGAATATCTTTAATTAGCTCATTCCTTGCCTCGATATTCCTTGGTAGATTTGCACCAATTGATATAGCTGACGGATCAGGAATGAACTTGCTAGATATAAACAATAAACAATGGAATGATAAATTATTAAAAATCTGTGGAGATGGTGATGGAGAAAAATTAAAATTGAAACTTGGTGAGCCTGAACCTAATGGATTAAAAATTTTGGGAAATGTTTCCAATTATTTTGTAAAAAAATATGGATTTGATAAAGGTATGATATATATATATACATACATGCATACACACACATATATATATATAAACATGTATGCATTTGATGTGAGTGATTATTTTTTTTAAAAAAAAAAATAGATTGTAGAATCATTCCATTTACAGGTGATAATCCAGCCACTCTTATATCTATGAATCTTACTCCTGGAGATATATTAATATCATTAGGAACATCAGATACAATTTTATTGTACACAAATAAACCATCACCAACAATCGAATCACACACACTATGTCATCCAACAAATCCATCAGCTTATATGTCAATGATATGCTATAAGAATGGAAGTTTAACACGTGAGTACATTCGTGATAAATATACAACAACAATAAGAAATGACAGCAATGATCCCTCCTTGTTGTCATCAGCATGGACACTATTCAATCAATTGTTGAAAACCTCGAAACCAAACAAAAGAAAAATGGGATTTTATTTTTTAGTGCAGGAGATCATACCATTTGCAAAAGGGATTTATAGATTTGAAGATAGCCAGCTGATTGATGAGTTTCAAGATGATCCTAAGCTTGATAATGTTAGGTGTATCATTGAGTCACAATTTATTTCAATGAGGATCAGAATCGAGAAATTGATTAATGATTTTGAAAACTTGGTCAATAAAGTAGTTGTTGTGGGAGGAGCAAGTAAAAATCATGAAATTTTACAAGTGTTATCAGATGTTTTTGGCAAAGAGATTTGGAAACAAAAGCATCATCATAATTGTAATGATAATAACGATGTCAATGCAGCTTCTATGGGGGCTGCTATGAAAGCAAAGATGGCATTCAACTTTGAGAATGATTTTGAAGATGAAAAGTTGGAAATTAATTCTTTTGTTAGTGTTGCGAAACCTAGAATTGAATATACTGATATCTATAAGGATATGTTTAACGTCTATAAAGAATTAGAAAATATTGTAATAAATAATCGAATTTCCAGAATTCAAGAATAATAACCTTTAATTTCTCAAAGAAAATAAAATAAGAAAATTAATAGAAAAATAAAATATTTACAAGAAAATAATATTTATAACAGTTGTTTCATCCTGCAATTGGAAACAATGGAGCAAAAGCAATCAGATTTTTCTCAAATGACACATTCTAATTCCTAATTGGTGTCCCAACCAGTATCCACCCCAACAAAAATATAGGTACCATACTTTTACCAAATTATTTTTTTTGTTAAAAATATAATTAATTGTATATCCTTAGTGACATGAAGTGCAAAGCAGTTAGAGCCAGTAATGGAAATGAAGCCCTATTTGCTTTCGAAAATTCAAAAGATCCATAAATACCATCATAACTTTAAATTCATAATGTATGAATCAATTGAATTGCCTAGGCATTATTGAACAAACTTTGTTAAAATTATAGATTATGACAGAGGCACATACCCATAATGTATTGCACAATGTAAGAATTTAAATTATAAATTTAATAAAATTGCAATTAACTAATATACAATATACAATAATAATAATGCTGTTTAATTTTCTATAATAATTTTTGATAATAACTTTTTTAGAATCTCTTTCATCTTTATGATCAATATTGTTTGTAATATAATTGAATGTTATTTTATTTTTGAGTAAATGAAGAACAGATTGAAATTGACTAAAACTTTTACCCAATTTTTTTAAATATAATACCAAAATAAGTTAATTCCTAATAATAATTTTTTTTGACATTGAATTATAATTTACTTATGATATTAGATTTACTAACAATAGAAAATTCATTAACCCCACCATGTACACTAACTATACCAGGTTCATTATCTACATCAGGTTCACTACCTACATCAAATTCATTATCTACATTGAGTTTATCTTCTGATTCACATCATTGGACTTATTGCTTTTGTTATTTGAACTTGAATCAGAAGAAGAATCTATAATACCATTCAAAACTGATCTCTTTTTGATCACTTGTAACTTTTAAAAGGAGTGTATTCCTGCCTGAGAAATATGTTGTTTTGATTTTTTGCACTTTTATAAAGTCTTTTTTTCTTAGTAAGGTTTACAACTGGTGGTCTTTGCTTTTGAATTAAGAATGAGAATCTTGATGACTAAACAGCTACTTTTGTCTTTTAGAATTTTGGTCATAGTTGCAGCTCAAGCACATTCTAAATGACTTATTCAGTACAAGTTGAGGATGAGGATGAGAATTATATTGGGGATGTTGGGATGTTGGATGAAGAGAATTGAGAGAATGATGATGATGATGTTATTTCCCTAAAATTCCATAAATATATCCTTCTCCTTCTCACAATCATCTGTCCATACACCTGACTCTACTTGTGCAAGTAAAAATATTTATCACATAAGTTTTACAAGACCTTGTTGCTCATCAATCTTTCTGCTTGATGGGTGTATTTGCATCTTATTGATAGTATTAGTTCCACTTTGTATCCACATTTTTACTCCATTGCTTTAATTGTTATACACATTTTCAGTTCTACCATTTTTATAATAAATATTCTTTTTCTTTTTTGAAATGCATAAAATAGTAATTTTACAAGCATAGTGGACACTGTTGCAGATCAACAGTCATTTGTATCCCTTAAACGTACAGGGATTTTTGGTCCAAATTTGTGTAGATCTTCCGAGTAAATTCAATCCCTCTTTAAATTAAAATACTACTAACAAACCCCGAATATTTTTGCATTTTCAATTAACATATATTCTGAAAAAATTATTTTAAAAAAATCGTACATACTGAAATTATATTTAAGATTTTTTATAAATAAAGAAACATTTGTATTTTTTTTAAAAAATTTTTTTTTGAAAAGTTCATTATATGGAAAATTTTAATTATTGATACTAGACCTATGGTTCTTAGACATAAATCATGTGATTTGATCTGCTTAACAAGTTCTATTAGTAGACTTTGCATACTAGCCAAATAATTTTAGTGAAGGAGATATAGGTTTATATAACTGTATGGTGCAGGTCATCTATACTCATCAAAAATGTAGATCATTCCGAAATTTCAGATAACTATCAATGAATTTTTATTGGTTAATTTTTTTAAAAGCAATTTATTATTATTCTATATTAATTCTATTTAATTCTTCAATTACACCATCTGGTATTCTCCTATGAGATCTATATTTTTTGACAGCATACTCTGCTAATTTACCACTGATTTCTTTTCTATATAAGTCCATATAACGCCAACACTTTCTTGAAAATTTCCTAATTGTAATTAAAGATACTGATTCAAGACTTTCAGGTACTGTTTTTTTTAAACCCTCCCATGAATAATCACAATTTTCTCTCAGATATCATTTAGCAGCACCCCAATATCTTTCAATAAAGTTTAGCTCACAGTGAAATTTTGGAAAAAAGATGCATTTATGTCCAGCATTCTCAATCAGCTCTTCAATTGCTCCTTTTTGTGCTAAAAAATCTGGTTCCAATGATAATACACGACGTGCACAACAAGATTTTCTTGAATCATCTTTAATATTTTCTTTACATTCTTTGCATTCTAATATTAATCCTTGAGATGACCATTTTCCTCTTTCTATTAACACTTGTTTTATGCCCTTAGGTTTGTTTCTAAGTTTCTCATCAGGATGTGTAGATGGAAAAACCATTGATTGTGGCTGTTTATCTTCTCCAAAGTAAGTATCACGCATAACAGGTTGCTTGCCACCTGGTTTTAGATTCATTCGTTTTGCAACCAAAGCATCATTTCTGAATGCAGCATGGTTAGAACTATTATCAAAAGCAAATACAGCTATGCAATCTGGATATAATGCCTCAAAAATAGGGATTGCTTTATATTCGATTTGCTCAAGAAGATGTTCTGCTGTCCAATAACCATCTTGATTTATGCCAGGCTTTAAATAACATTGTGCTTCTTCAGGTACATATGGATGTTTCTCTATGTCAGCTTGTTGCAAACGAAGGCATCCATTAACTTCTGTTAAAAATTCACTAACCATAATTGATCTGCCATTTCCCTTTTTTCTCAGTGGCATCTCACCATTCTTGGTCCACACTCCACGTTTACCATCATTAGAATAGAAAATACTCTCATCATGAACTACAAGAATTCTTTCTTTTTCTCCTTCAGGTAAGTTAGGGATTATTCTATCCATTGTTTCACCTTCATATTTGGACATATACTTCTCATGGTCAAACATTTTTTCTAAGAACACTTTCCTATATTGCAGAACTGATTGGATGATAGAGCTAGTTTGAGATGGTGAAGATCTGGAAAATCATCAAAGGAAGATGAAGGATGATGGGCTATATGGTTCAATTCTGAAATGTGTTAAGCGTCATGCAATTGTGGATATTAGAAGTGGTATAGGTAGACCCCACAACCTGAAATCAGGTGTCATTTATGTTGTATGTTCACAGGACTTTTCCAGTGTGGAAATATGTATTAATAGTATCTGGGACAAGGTTTGGTTGTGTGGAAGTACAGATTTGTACACTGAGTTGTGTATCTCAGTGACATCTTATTGACAACTGACAGAAATGTTAAATGATTCAACCTCTTTAGTTTCTAGTTCAAAGCACTACGAGTATATGGGCATTCAGTATGGTATAACTCTTGCAAAACATACAGTATGGTATTGTATAAGTGTAATAAAAAGGTTGTATACCAATGCTTAAATCAAACATACTTCCCTTCACACCCACCAAAAAAAGGATTTAGAATAAAATTTTGCGTGACTTGGTATGGAAAAATATGGGCTATACCATACCATACCATATGTTCTGCAAGAGTTATACCATACTGAATCTCTCCCTACTGAAGCACAACATTTTTACTAAGACATCTAGTTTATGCATTTGCTGCTTAATGACATAAAAATGGAAATGTTCATAAAGTAATTGCATCTAACCACTGGTGGAACTATGCAAATGGCTAATTTCTTTAATAAAGTTATCTTTACATCCATTAGTATTAGGTACAAAAAAAAATTTTTTTTTCAAAAATTGTTAGAAATATTGGTTAGCCTCCTCTTAAATACAGACTTGATTTGACAGCTCAATAAGCTGGAGAATAAGAAGCAAATTTAGTTATCTGACTTCTTGATAAATTTCATAAGTGATTTTTTCTTTATCTAGACATTCCCAAAGAACTTGGTATTATTCATAAGGTGCAATTTTTTCTCCTTGCTCTTTCCTTAAAATACTTCTAATAATGCTGTAATTCTTGGGTTCCATAGTAGACCTAATGTAAATGAGTTCATATTAACTATTTTATATAGAGGTGATTCTATATATCACCTGATATTAAGAGGATAACAAATAGGATATTATAAAACTGGTAATTATAATCACATTTCAAATGACTAAATTTTGATCCCTGAAATACTGGAAATACCAATGTTCACTTTGTCTGGTTTTGTTGCAGTATGCCCCAAATATAAAAAGAAATATTGATTACTTACTTTTAACATATTTAACTTAATATTACATAAAGCAGATATTGAAATAGTTGGACAGTTTTGTAGAAATGGGTATTTGGTTAAGAGTTCTAAATTCTTATTTCTGAATTTTTTTCAATCAATCTATAAGAAAAATATTTAAATATACAAGTAAATATATAATATATAACATTCCTAAATATTATTTTACCTTGCTAAATATTAAAATAATTGGTTTTTTCATAGTTTTTAATTTCTCAATAATAAATTGTTCACCATAATAACTGTATTCAGTTATTTTTAATGCATCAATCACTAATATCACTATAAAATTATAATATAAAAGTAATATAATATAATATAATATAATCATATATCATCATACTATATATAATTACCATAATCAACTTCATTTATTGTATTCCATGAAGAATTAATCAATTCACGATTATATCTTTGTTTATATTTGGTTAATGGTGATGTTGATGTTGATGTTGATCTTGTTGTAAATATTACACCTGGAGTATCTAAAAAAATCTATATAATTTATAAATTTTAATTCATCATATATTAATTCATGATATATTAATTTATTATAAATTAATTACAATTTGCTTGTTATCAACTGTTAATATTGTGGAAACTCTTTCTCTTGTTGTATGTGGTTTGTCTGATACAATTGTCACCTAATAAATACATTTTTTATTATTATTAATTATCAATCATCAATTATCACCATTGGATAATATTTACATTATCACCAATTAAAGAATTTATCAAAGTAGATTTTCCTGAATTGGCTGTTCCTATTATTGTAACTTTAAGTATATGAGGGTTTATTGGTTGTTTGATTTTTTGTTGAATTGTTGGCAATTTATCTTTAATATCTAGTTATTTATTGTTGTTATTATCATTCTTTTTATAAATAAATGCTATCTTATTCAATTAATTAATGAATTATATATACCAGCAAAATTATTATTAATAGATATAATTTTATTTTTATTGATTTTTTGTTTGTCTTCACTTTTTCTTCCCAATTTTTCATAATTTGAATAAAAAATTTTTTTTTCTATTAATTTATCAAATCTACTATTTCCCTTTATTGAATTTGGCAATCTCATTATTGATCTTATAGGTATTCTTGCCATTCCTTTTGCATTTGACATCATTGAGTAAAAAATAATTTTCTTATTTCTGATTAAAAAAATCGTTTAATGATCATCTAGTCATGACAAAACTAAATATATACAGTATTGTTTAACAAGTTTACCCCTGAAATTTATTGAGCAAAAAAAAAAAGATGGAGCAAAAAAACAATTCAATGCCTGAAATGAATGACATTCAAACTTTCGTCAATGATTCTATAATGTACAATTTATTTGATACAAATAACAATCTAGACAATACTATTACCCAGGAGTCACATGATTTTCATAACTTAGAAACTGGTATACCTGACATGGATCATAACTATTTATCACAACTTTTACATGCTGTAATGGAATCAGAATCCAAGAAGAGTGCAGTCGATTTTGTTTCAATGTCAGAGGTTGAAAGAATCCCGGTCTCTGAAATAAATGCTTTCAACAACTTTAGACCCTCTTCAGAATCCAATTTTCAGCCTGATAATACTAATGACAAGGAAGAAGACAAAAGTGTAAGTAGCAATATTGATGTAATTGATTATATTATTTAAAAAACTTTTTATTGAAAAAATAAATATATAATATATAAATATTTATGTTTTAGTCTATGAATGAAAGCAATCAAGATTTAGGTTATGGCGATGATGATGATAATTATGATAATCCCAGAAATATATCACCAAGTGTAAAGTATACATCAGCAAGAACCACTATAACAGCTACAAAATCAGGTTTAAATGAGAATGGCATTAATAAATCAAGAAGACTCTGGGATGATGAAGAGGTTTCTATTTTTCTTAATCATTTTAAGGAGGATTATGCATTATACCAAAAGAACAGTAAAAAATTTTATGAAAAGATGGCCAGTAAATATTTTACATCAAGATCAAAAGGTGCAATTCAAAGTAAACTTAATCAATTGTTGGATAAATATGAGGAAGTTAAAAGCAATTCGGCTAAATATAACTGGAAATGGTACAGAATTATTGATGATATCATTAAAGAAGATTCCAATGATGCTAATGATCATGATAGTGATAGATCATCTGAAATCAATTATTATAATGAAAGACTTAAATCCAAAAGACTTGTGAAAAGCAAAAATAATAAACCAACTGATGTTAGTGAAGTAGAATCACATGAAGTAATAATTGGTAACCATAAGATAAATAATAATAATTTTATAAAAGCTGGTTATTTTATGGAAGATGATTATGTAAAATTTAAAAGGTTTAATAATAATCACAATAATGCAAATAATATTATTAATCCTCTTGTCAATGATCAAGAAAACAACGCAATTGATAATGGTGCAGTTGAAAATAGAAATTGTATCAGTAAAAAAAGAAGAATTGGAATTTCTTCTGCATGTATAATTGCAGATGCTATCAAAGAATCAGTAATGTACAGAGAAAGAATGTGGGAAGAAAGTTTGAAATTTGAAAATGAAAACTTGAATAAAGAATATGAAATACAAAAAAACAGAATTGAATTGGAAATATGCCAATTGCAATTTGAAAGACAACAATTAAGACTTGAACATGATAACAAACTTAAAGAATTAGAAGTAAAACTATCTCAATTAAGCCAAAAAAATAATTATTGATTGAAATATTTTCCAAGCATTTAAGAAAAAATCTGACGTTTTTATTTGTTCTCTCTTTCTACTAATCTTCTCTTCTCTATTAATCTTGACAATATTTTCTCCCAATTAATAAAAATCAAATCTTCTCCATCAATCATAATTAATCCTTATTAGGATTTATTAATCTTATTTATGCATACAATTATTATTTTTTCAGTGTAGATATAGATATAGATATCTTTAGTTTTTATTGAATTAATCTAGGTTTTTTTAATATTATTAATAGTATTATATTAGATAGATCATCACCGGTTTTCCTGAATCTCAATGATAGCAGTTTTAAAATTGAAGATCTTCTAAATAAAGGACAATTCCATAAAATTTTTAATTAAAATGTTGATCAATTTTTTGTTTTAAGCTTTAAATCATCAGAGGAAAAACTTTTTACATTTGTTAAACAATTTAAAGTATTAGTTATTAGTCTATTAACTAATTATTTAGTCCGTTTCCTAATTTATTTAAAGTACAAGAACCGTTTAATGGTTCATTTAAAATTTAAAAATAATTTTCAAATGGTATTTGTTAAAACAAGTCACTAATATAGTGTTCCTAACCGAAAATCAAATTTTTTACAAATATTCAAAAAATCAATTTATTCAAGGATATTTGAATATATTAATATATATAGTCTATTTTCATAATTATTTTGGATACTCGTAATAATTGTAATTATTACGGATACTTGTAATTATTACGGATACTTGTAATTATTACGGATACTTGTAATTATTATGAATACTTGTGATTATGGATACTTGTAATTATTTTGGATACTTGTATTTATTTTAAATAATCATTTCAAACATTTGTTACGATATCACAAATGATTATCGATTGATAACAAACATTACTAACTTATTTGTAACTTATCCTACTATATAAATAAACATTTTCAAAGATAATTATATTTTTACAACAATTAAAATATTTGTCCGAAAACATTTTCTTTGTATGATGATATAATTTATTAAATAAATTTTTTGATATAGCTTGAAATGAACAATCAAATTGATATAAGAGATATGATGTCCAAAAAGGAACTTTATCATTAAAGAACAAGAAAAAAATTAACAATAGTTCGTTAAATTTATACAAATATCTGAAATAATGAATAAATATTTGAAATTCGTAATTTTGGATTTACGAATTTTTGATCGGGTTAAACAACAGAAATAAATCAGTCACAAGGAAGCCTTTGAGCTTTGCAAAAAAAAAAATTTATTTACTTAAAGTTATTCAGTACCATTAAATGCGCTTATAGATCCATCGAAACTTTTTAGGCACTAGAAAGAGGCAGTAAACGAGAACTAAGGTAATTTCGTAAATTTAATTGACAAGCATTGAATTATTGTGAGTTCCTTGCAATTAACTGACAAGAATGAGTAGCCCAAAGGTTAAACTGTAATCAAAAGGCATCACTACTTAACAAAATCAGAAAACTGTAAAGGCTTATTAAGAAATGAAATAAAAAGACAAATATTATAACGAATAAGTAAACTTGGTGGAAGTTAAATTAGTCACTCGTTGATCCTCTCTTTTAATCACTAGAATCTAACGTTTATTAATCAATCAAATGCAAGTAAAATATATTGTTAGTAATAATTAACAGATGATAATTTTAAAATTAATAACATTTTAGAGATTAATGAACTATCATTATTTGTATAACTTTTTAAAGCTTTAGTAACCTCTTCTACTTTTATGATATGTACCTGGATGTGATTTGTGTACTTGTTTCAAAACACTGCTACTATTACTACTATTATCATTACTACTATTGCTACTATTATTATCATCAATACTATTGTGAATTACTACTATTATTACCATCAATACTATTGAAAGTTTATTGTTATATAGCAAAATCAAAAGCACTCTAATAGTTGGTCTTTTTGATGGATCCACATCCCAACACCTATGCATCATTCTCAAATTTAAAAATCTATGAAAAAAAAATTTGGAGACATTTTTTTTTACATAAATTGATACCCTCTTTAAAGCTAATGTGGTTTGTTTATAAAGCTCCGAACGGTTCGGTTTAAACCGAAATTTTCGGTTCGGTTTCGGTTTTTAAAAAACCAATTCGAAAATTTTCGGTTCGGTTTCGGTTTGGTTTCGGTTTTTAAAT